TTACTATAGCTGTTTACAGTGTTCTAATCATTACGATTTACTTATTTTTTTTGCTTCAATTCTAGATAATTATGCTCAGTTTTTTATGTAAAATTGAAGCGATGACTGAATGAACGAACCTTGAATGGCGAAGATGTATCTGGAAGTGTACACATTTGTTGGAAGTGAAAAAAATATTCAATGTAATGACAAAAATTGTAAAATGCTGTGGAATTTCTTTTGTAAATAAAAATATACTAGCAATTTTCTATTAATGGTTTATTCAAGTGGGCAAAATATAATGTACAGAAAGATTGCCCGTAGAGTATTGCTACACTGAAAAGTAAGCAACCGACAGCCTGTATAAAAGGGGGGCTGTGATTGGCTGTTATTTTACGCGAGATTTGAACAGGACTTACATAGACGTCGGATCAGATGTAGGTAGGGCGGGATTAAAAAAAATCACAAAATCAAAATCAAAGTAAAATAATAAAATAAAAAGGCATTAATAACAAAAGTAATAAAAAATTAAAATAAATTTATAGCCAAAATAATTAAAGCCTGTACACTACATCAGAATTTAATCAGATTGAAATGCCCGTTGGCCAATTTCAAAACAGTCATGTTAGAAATAATTAATTTTTAAATTTGAATAATTAATGCAAATCAGCATAGCAAATCACAATACATTTAAGTCAGCGACAATCACCGGAATGAAGTGTAAATAGAAAATAGGAGAGTATAGAAGAAATCTATATATCCTAGGAGTTTAAAAATGGTGTAATTTCGGATCAATGTGTGATGCCATTTTGTTTTGTTTTTTCACAAAACAGCTCACTCATGATAAAACATCTTCAAAAAGTTGTTCAATAATAAGGCTAATGTTTCCCTGCAAGGATTGAAAATAAACTAACAATTCAACTTCCACAGTACACACACTTTCTTTGACGTTCTATACCCTAATTTTATTTTTAGTAAATCAATAAATTGCTTGACTGTGCTTGCTTGCCAGGCATTGCCTGCTTCATACATGTATTAGCCACTAAACACAAAAATGTAGCAGGATTAATTAAAATTATTACTTTTATTCAGTTTCATGTTAATGTCTCACAAAAAAATTCTCGTCAAATGGTTTTTAATTTTTATTAAATTTTTTTTTGCTAAAATACTGTAGAATACATTTGTACTTTATTTTCGCTTGGAATTTATTTTCGCTATTTTCGCTGAAGGGATGATTCTGTGAAAATAAAATCCAGGGAATATACTTTTTTTTTCTACATTTCACATTAAACTCATCAAAAATCTGTGAAAGTAAATTCCGAACAAAACGCCCAAAAAGCCTTCTCAGCGAAAATTAATTCCAGCGAAAATAAAGTATTCCGCAGTACTATTTGACGGAAAACACATTTTCCCAGTGTCGCAGAGGGCGCTGTGCGGTGGCTAAAAATGTGCCCAGAATAATAATTTTTTTTTTTGGCCTAAGCCCAAACTACAGTTCAGTATCGTGTTGCGCCCTCAAGCATACTGTCAAAGTAAATCAGTCACGGGGTTATTCTCAAATCCAGGACTTGGTCATACGTCGGAGCATAAGCTTTAATGGTAAGAAATGCAAGTAACATTATAACACAGCGCTAGTCTTGCGTACTGTACTGTGTTACGATCACCCTGTACTCGGCGCTAAACGCTCATCGTAAATTCAATTTATAGTTTTTAACAGTGACACGAGAATGAAATTTTACTTAAACACTGGCATAAAACATAAGAGTCATGTACTTACATATCCATGTTACTCCATCACGTTGATTGCTTTCAACAATACGTAACTGTACAACGAAATGAATAATTTCAATTTGGCTGTAGTTCATGTAGAGCGCCATTTTTAAAAGGTCAATGTGTGTGTACGTGTCACTTTCCTCCAGTTATTTCTGTATTGCATGATCTGGGTTACACCTTACATTTTAACGATGTACCACTTCCAAACGCATCTTAAAGGAAAAATTTGCAAGTAAACCACTTGTTAGTTTTAATTTTATTGATTTACACTATCAATCATCGCGCGTTCTTGTGTTTGAGTTTCTTTTGATTACGCCCTCTATGGCAAAGGTCACATGACAGTTTTGCCACAAACAGCGAGATTTGGCGCACTCCGAACAGCTGCCTTGTCACCTTACTTGAGTATTTGTTTTAAAAAGCGTCCTTTGGCGCATTGTGTTCAATATTGTGAGACCGGGAATGGCAGAGAACGGCAGTACACAGGTAATTCACCAGGAACGATCTTAGTTATCATAGAGAGAATAACATAAAGGGAATTTTTATGCTTTTGTTTTCTTGCTTGCCACACGTGTTATAACTTCCCGAATGAAAACACACTTGAAGCCATGGCACAGCCAGCGTTCATTTTATTGTACAGGTATTAGATTATATAGTAAATGTTATTGAAAACTTCATAAAAATTAGAACATGTTTTTTAAGGATTTAAAAAGGACGAAAAAGCTCCAAAAATCTTCTGCCCCCTGTTCTTATTCATCCAGCCCCCCTCTCTTCTACACTTAGGTTGGTCAAATCAGCTCCCTGGTTAAATGGATAAAACAACTTTGTGTTTCAAACCGCAAGGCAGAATGTTTTCAAATTCGATATGCAAGTACCTTGGATAGTTCTTTCTCAGATTTGTTCATTCCTAGTCAAAATCTCAAATTCTCTATTTTTGGTGAATATTTTTGTCATTTTTGGTAAAAAGTGATATTTTCGACTTCTTGTTAAAAACTGCAAGTCTGATTGCTTTGATATTACATATATAGGTACTACATGTAGACCTTTCTCAGATTTGTTCATTTCATGATGATATCTTCAATTCTCTAATTTTGATGAATTATTTTTGTCATTTTCGGTAAAAAGTGATATCTTCGACTTCTTGTTAAAAACCGCAAGTCCAATTGCTTTGATATTACATATATAGGTACTACATATGGACTTCTCTCTGATTTGTTCATTTCGTGATGATATCTTTAATTCTCTAATTTTAATGAATGTTTTTGTCTTTTTTGGTAAAAAGTGATATTTTCGACTTCTTGTTAATTAAAAACAGTTTGCTTTGATACTATACATATTGTTCATTTTCTAATGATATCTTCAGTTCTTTATTTTTCTGGCTGGCCCTGTATCTATTTATGGCCAAACTGGAAAATGGGCACCTTTATTAAAGTTCTACTTAAAGTTTCCGAACCAAAATTTCAACCTGTACATGCAGAATGTGATGTATTATTGAAAAATGCTCTCATATAACTGTATGAGCCAAGTAGTATTGTGATTAATTGATAATTAATTTTTATAAAATAAAAAGTAATGATCAAAAGTTTATAAAGTTACTCCTGCCTACCCTACTTTTGTTTTTAATGTTACTAGAAACACAATATTAATTTGGCCTTAATATACATACAAATTGTGAGAGGTTGTGAATTGTATTGTGTCCAACTTCATTGTTGCGTGTCTGAAAAACACATTTTTCAAGGTTTTCCGGTTTGAGCCACACATGCAGTATGTGTTTACTTTGATTTTACGTTGTATTATTAGCCATGCTGTTTATTCGGTGTTATTTGCTTACTTTACTTTCTATGTCAACAGCAACTGTGAGTTTACAATTATTTCTCAGAAAGGTCCGTCGAAAAAGTGTGTAATTAACAGGTGCATAAAATATGTCTAGTGATATGCATAGATTTGCATTGATTGTGTTTTTGTTTCATTTCAGATGGCTGATTTTAAAGATCAATTTTCCTCGCAGGTGAGGGTTTTGTTTTGTTTACAGCTCTTTTCTTTCATACTTGATTAACTTAACGTGTGAAATACTAAAAGTAATTGTGATTTTGTTGAAAATGCAATCGGAATCATTCGCTTATAATGGAATAAGTTGAAATTTATTTGCATTTCATAACAATTCAATGAATATATTTTTTGTACGTTATTATAATCATTGCTAGATAATAATCAACATTTGTAAAACGCAGCATGACTGGATTGGCTACCACTATCATTTGCTACTAAGCAATGCAGTTGTGTTCGTTGTTATTTGAAACTACTTTTGGAGTATACCAGTACTTTAGTTACTAATAAAACAAAATAATTGTATTTGGCGCATGAGGTTCGTTAATGTGATTTTTTGAGAAAGATTCGTGGTCTACTTTTTAATCATCTAGAAAATTATGTATTTTAGATTAGCTTCTGCAATAGTTTATTTCGTTTTGGGTGGTCCAACTGCCGGTGTTGAAAATCGGCGTAGGAGGATTTTTCAATGAAAATATAAGCCCCCTAAAAATATTTAATGATATTTTTTTGAAAATTTGAACCCCAAATAAGGCCCCCACCAGCTGTGAAACCGCCCAGGGCAATTTTTCGGATAGGCAAATTTATGGCAGAATCCAGTAATTGTTCCAGTAACCAACACTAAGCACTGATGTAAACATAAAGTTTCTTTTTAGTCCCCGTCCGGACGAAGTCCAAAAGTCAGTGCGTCGGTCCGGAGTCATATCTCAGAATCCCTTGGACCGATTCCGTTCATTCTTTGTATGTGCCTAGTACTTTATGTGGGACATATGCACATGCAGTGGTTTAGCGATTTGATTCAAAATGGCCGACTAGCAGCCATCTTGTTTTTTGAAAATGTTGTATTTTGGATATGCTTTGGCAGTTTTCTTTCAAACTTGGTACATAGATTATACATGTTAGGATACATGTCCATGACGATTTATTTCACAATTGGATAAAAGATGGCAGACTGGCAGCCATCTTGTTTTTTGAAAATGTCGTATTTTGGACATGCTTTGTCAGTTTTCTTTCAAATTTAGTACATAGATCATACATGTTAGGATACATGTCCCCGTCCATTCGTGAGTTCCTGAGTCTGTCCGTGTGTCCGTCCGTCTGTGCGTCAGTCTGTCCAGAGTCATATTTCAGAATCCTGTGGGCCGATTCCGTTCATTCTTTGCATGTGCCTAGTACCTTATGTGGGACATATGCACATGCAGTGGTTTAGCGATTTGATTCAAAATGGCCGACTAGCAGCCATCTTGTTTTTTGAAAATGTTGTATTTTGGACATGCTTTGTCAGTTGTCATTCAAACTTGGTACATAGATTATACATGTTAGGATACATGTTCATGACGATTTATTTCACAATTGGATCAAAGATGGTCAACTGGCAGGCATCTTGTTTTTGACTCCCATGTGCGAAGCACAAAATGGGAGTCTTTGCAGTTAGTGTGTCTGTATGTCTGTATGTGTGTATGTGTGTATGTGTGTCCGACTGTTCCACTGCTATCTCAAGAACCATACATTGGTTTTTGATGAAACTTGGTGCATAGATGCTCTGGGCCAATGCGCAGATTTGATTAGGTTTTGGTAAAAATCCATGCTCGTTAATTACCTAATTTGCATGATAATTAGCTAATTTTTAGCTGTTCTATGACTGTTCCACTGATATCTAAAGAACCACTCATTGGATTTTGATGAAACTTGGTACATAGATGCTCTGAACATATGCGCAGATTTGATTAATTTTTGGTAAAAATCCGTGCATATTAATTACCTAATTTGCATGATAATTAGCTATTTTTTAGTGGTTCCATGACTGTTCCACTGATATCTAAACAACCACTCATTGGATTTTGATGAAACTTGGTACATAGATGCTCTGAACTAATGCTAGGTTTTGATTAGTTTTTGGTAATAATCCGTGGATACTAATTACCTAATTTGCATAATGATTAGTC